GTTTTTCAAGGTTTAAGAGGACGATAGAATGCTAAACTGCAAACATTCGTTCTATTAAATAAGTTTCAAAATCAGAAACAAATTTCTACACCATGCCCTGTTTTTGCATGCTGTGGTATAGGCGACTTTTCCAGTGTTTGCTTACCGACCTTTGCGATTCAGTTACGGAATCACCTATCAGATGAAACAAGTTATGGGAAAGTCATTTATAGGGCCGTATCGAATAACATTGACCGTCAGGGACATAGGTGACGTAACCCCTTTCTCAGGCCAATGCACTAACACGTATACATATTTCAACTTCAGGAAATCTTTAAGCTTACTGACTCTGCTATTGCGTAACTCGCTAACTGCAGTGGAAAAAATAAATGACGGTTGTTACGATTAAATGAAATTTACGGAAATGTTTACCGTTTGATAAAGTCTTACTGTCTGAAGCATTTCGCACGTCGCCAACTGCGGACAGTTGGCACCTTCAATATTCTGCTATGCTAGTCAGTAATGCATAGCTCTTCCAAGAACAGATTTCAAGAGCTGCTCCACCACCTCCTTGCTCTTAGCTGCCCGGGGCTGCCATTGAAACAGGCCACTCTTTCATGAAATTTGAGCGCCTGCACTGTCAGTTGCGTCTCGAATCGTTTCGCCTGCTACATCCACCTAGCGTTCATTATGATGTTTTAGAAGCGGATACTCTTTATGTGCTGCCACACAGACATCAAATCATGTTCATACACCAGAGCGAATTACGTACAAAACGTATCATTCCATAAAGAACAAATTTTCCGCTTTTTGCACCTTCTCCTACTTCACTTGTCTCGGGAGTATTCAGGCTAGCTACGGCTCCTCGATACTTTAGTTTAAGGATTATGACGATGCCATGGAGTCTCTCCTGACTAGGAGCAACGCGAAGTGCAATATACCGTGACACTTTGTCTTCTAGGAGTGAGGCTTAACGTTCTCCGTCTTACGAACATATTTTTGCGATAGTCAGTCGTGTTTGCTCCTTCAACTCTTGCAACCATTCCATCCCATCCAACACTACGGTTAAATATTTTTCACTCAAATGAAACGATTCTTTGTCGCAATCCTTTGTGTTGTATCTTCACAGTGCCAGGTCTGGGTATAGGTCTATT